CAGCATCATCATCATCACCATCATCACACTGGAAAAAAGATCGAAAAATGAGTAAAAATGTATTCAGTTAAGAAATAAAAGAAGTTTACAATATTAAGTTAGGGAGTTTCCTGTCCAACATGTTGATATTCTTTCAGGTCGTTACGTTTTCAGTCTAGTTAAAGATCAGAATCCTAATTGTTGACAATAAGACTCAAAGAGATATATATATATATATATATATATATATATATATATATATATATATATATAATGTACCAAAAGGAATCTCTCTAAATATAAATATCAGAGTATTTTCATTCTCCTGTGTTCTCAACAATAGGAAAACATCCAATAAATAGATGTTTTAGCTGATTTTTGGAAAATACAAAACCCTAATGAAAGCGTTCAGGTGGAGTAACTGCAGGACCATCAGCCTCCACCCTTAGAGCGCCCCCACCAGCTTTCATTACAAAGTTACACCCTTGACAACAACTTCCATACAAAATAAAAAAACTGTTACTACACCATTTAATTTTCCTTTGGGATTAATAAAGAAAATGTCTCTATTTTTGTCACATTGCTCACCTCTCACCAAACAAAGCAAGAAGTTCCTGCAGAATTTAGCTTCGTCCTTGGAGAAACTATCGACAAACTCCCAAACTCCCACTGCTCCTGCAGACCTTCCTATACCTACCAGCCACCAATGTCTAGCAAGCTCTGCTCTGGCGGCAACATATGTTATGTGCTTATCAGAAGGAGAGTCTGGGGATCTTTACAAAGAAGCAACAGTTGCTTGTTTTTGCTTTGAATGGAGCTATTGCTGACCTGTGGGCTTCTGCATCCGTACATTAACCCATAAAAAGTCAGTTTTCTTACATTTTTACCTCTAATCTTTTTTTTTATTTCTCTAATTTCTAATAGTGAGAGAACATATTAAATTCTGGAGATCTAAAAAAAAAAAAAAAATGAAAATATGAGGAACCCCACCCTCGTAAATTGATAATGTCATCCAGCATCTATTAAATTAGAGGTTTCTCACTGGCTTGCAAGAGGAAAAAAAAGGAAAGGGAGACAAGATAAGAAGCCACTTGACTCTTTCATGTTAGAAGATGCAGGAGCAGATGGCAGCAGAGGCAAGTAATAACGCCACAAAAACGCCCACAGACACAAATCCACCTCTTAAATGTTTTTCCCTTTTTTTTTTCTTAAAAAAATCAGAGCTGCTTTTGCCTCCAGGGAATCTCAGTGGGCAGAGGGAATCCTAAGGCCACCTAGATCCACTCCAAACACTTAGCACAGACAGTTTCTCTTAAATCACCTGCTATCTTAATCTGACAGCCTGAGTCGATTACAAGGCAGAAAAATTGCTTTCCTTGCCACCAGCAGTCGTTGAGAAATTATCTTAATTGTGTGGTGATTATGCCTGGAAGCAGCGGTGAGAGCTTCCCGGTGCTCTTTTCAAATACGGGGGGATTCGGAAGTGTTGAAAATGCAACACTGTCGGCTCCCAGGAGGAGATGGGATGAGAGCGGAAAATAGATTTATCTGCATTCACTTCAAAACTCAGACAAATGTGAGCAACAAACACAGAAAGAAGGCGGTTTATTGAAATAAAAGAAACCTCATTTTGATATAAAACTGAATAGACAAGTCAGCTAGAGAGCCTTTCAAAAACATTAAAACTAAACCTTTATATTTTCAATGTTGTGTATATTGTTGGGAAATGATGAACTAGATTAAAACCTATTCCCATTAGTTAGTTCTCCTGTCCTCTAATGTGGCCTTTTTGGCAGCAAGAAGGGAGCGGTGGGAGATGCTCGGGTACGAAACTCTGTTTGTTTTCATTTTCAGTTTATTTCTATATCACCAATTCACATCATGTCATCTCACAGTTCACCAGATCATCCAATCAGATTGATTCAAAGTTTCTGAGTATTAAGCAGCCTTAACTGGATGTGCTCTCTTCATCCTCTGACATGGGAGCTGGCTCGGAGCTCGTCTGCCTGGCTGTGTGTTTCCTGGACGGGGCCGCCTGTGGAGCTGGTTGCCTTTTGTATCTATGCTTCTTTTTCTATGTCTGCTTCTGTCTCCTTGAACCCCAGTGGGCCTCAGCAGATGGCCGCTCACACTGAGCCTGGTTCTGCTGGAGGTTTCTTCCTGTTCAAAGGGAGTTTTTCCTCTCCACTGTCGCTACATGCATTTTCTTAGTTCCTATTAACCAATCTGACTCGATGATCTGATTGAACCATCTCTGTAAAGAGCCTGAAGATGATGTGTTATGAATTGACCTTTCACCATTAGTAAGATGATTCCGTAAAAATTGAAAAAATATCCACTGGACTTGGTTTTAAAGATTTGAAGACGTTTCTCCACCTCTCCAGGAAGCTTTCTCAATTCAAATGTCTGGATCCGCAGTGAGTTTGAGTCTTATATGGACAAGGCCTTGTATCGCTTGGACACATGCAATAGAAACCGATGAATGGGTCGTTTAGTTCCATCGTTAGCCTGTAATATCTGATTCCTGTCTATGATTCTAGGGGTAGGTCGTTTAAGGGGGGATTGTCATTAAGGGGGGATAGTCCAGTGGATATTTTTTGAATTTTTACAGAATGACTATGACCTGGATGACTGAGAACCTTCATCAGCATTAGTAAGATGATCAAAATTATAATAAAGACTTGAAATGTTTTTTCAATGCTTATATCTACATCTCACTTTATAAAGACATCAAAAGGGGAAAAAAGATTTAATTATATAAAACTTCAGTATTTTTTTCCAGTCATTTCAGAAAGTAGAACATTTATTTTATACAACCATTAATTTACTATATGAACAACCTGACTCTTCAATTATATTTTGTAGCTTTTTCAGAATGTTGACTCTTTTTTTTGTTTTTATCCGTCTAGTCTGCAGTCTTCCCCGTGGTTGTAAATCCTACTGAACAAGAGGTTCAATCCAAAAACACCAAGTCGGGCCCCTAGCTCCTGTCCCTTCATTATTTCATGGGGTTCAAACAGTAAGAGTACTATTGTGGGTATAAGAAACCCCCGGTCCTGCCGTGCCGAATCTGGACAGCCTTCAGAATGTGATTACTCAATGTAAACACACATGGAGGATGCTTTTCAAATTGGGACTACAACTTTCTGAAAAAGAACTACAAAAAACAAAATGTGGAGAAAAGCTGAAGCTCTCAGCATATAAAGGTGTGTGATTCCACCATTTTTCCCTCAGAATTCAGCGATTCCATCATTTTCCCTCAGAATTCAGCGATTCCATCATTTTTTCCCTCAGAATTCAGCAATTCCATCATTTTTTCCCTCTGAATTCAGCAATTCCATCATTTTTTCCCTCTGAATTCAGCGATTCCATCATTTTTTCCCTCTGAATTCAGCGATTCCATCATTTTTTCCCTCTGAATTCAGCGATTCCATCATTTTTCCCTCTGAATTCAGCGATTCCATCATTTTTTCCCTCTGAATTCAGCGATTCCATCATTTTTTCCCTCTGAATTCAGCGATTCCATCATTTTTTCCCTCTGAATTCAGCGATTCCATCATTTTTTCCCTCAGAATTCAGCGATTCCATCATTTTTTCCCTCAGAATTCAGCGATTCCATCATTTTTTCCCTCAGAATTCAGCAATTCCATCATTTTTCCCTCTGAATTCAGCAATTCCATCATTTTTTCCCTCTGAATTCAGCAATTCCATCATTTTTTCCCTCTGAATTCAGCAATTCCATCATTTTTCCCTCAGAATTCAGCAATTCCATCATTTTTTTCCTCAGAATTCAGCGATTCCATCATTTTTTTCCTCAAAATTCAGCGATTCCATCATTTTTTCCCTCAGAATTCAGTGATTCCATCATTTTCCCCTCAGAATTCAGTGATTCCACCATTTTCTCTAAGAATTCAGCGATTCCACCATTTTTTCCCTCAGAATTCCGTGATTCCATCATTTTTCCCTCAGAATTCAATGATTCCATCATTTTAAAATGTAATCCAAGTAACCGTTACAGCCACATTTTTTTTCTTAATTTCTTTAATGTCTCTTAAAGTCAGTTGCCATTTGAAATTACTTTTGTTGCGTGTCCAGTCTATGATCTGTTTTTTTTCCTACAAAGTTAAACAGCTGAATGAAGATCCTGAGGCGCCGCTAATTCCATCATTTTTACCAGGGGTTTATATCAGGATATACTGCAAGTCTCAATCGATCCAGCTGAAAAGTCTTTTTGATCTTGTTTTGAGAATCTAAATCCTGATATGAAGAAGTCTCAGCGCGTGAAATCGTCTCACTGTATTGGAAGATTGTTGCTTATATTTTTGTAGAGTCTCCTCAATAGAAGATTAATAATCTAACAGAATATTCTCTTGTTGAATCTCAGAAGTAGGTAAGATTTTTTGGTTGGATCCTGGTTAGATTTGCACTCGAACAGATTGAATCCTTCACTTTACTACAGGTAAGTACAGTTTTAAGAAAAAAGTTTTGATCTGTTAGATCAGCAGTCTACATCTATGACTTTATGGCTTAATTTAAATACTTTATTTTTATCCTGTGCCTCCATGGAAAACACAGCTTCATTGGTACAGCTTGTCTAGAAGCCATCTTTTAGAATTACCCAATGAGTTTCTAATATTAAACTTCTCATATTTTGTAGATCTACCTGCAGATGTCAATTTTTATTTTTATAAACCGAGGGACCAAAATAAACTTTTACAATATTCTTTGTTCCTCTGGAATGTATATTTGATACCAAAACTCCTTAAAGTTCAAAACACTCTAGATTTTATTAAATAAGTCAACTAACCCTGACCAAACTAAATATTGGAAACTTTTATCCAGATTTATTGACAAAGAAATAAATAAGAAATAAATTTTTATTTCACATCTTTGTCCATCCATAAAAACAAACCCTAATATTAGACCTAATCAATGAAAAGTGATAAAAACATTACTGCAAAAAAGAAAAACTTCCATAAATAGATCATTTTCCCCAAAAATGACTCCAGATATTCAAGCAATGTTTTCAATTTTTTTTATTGGCTTTTGGACATTTTTTTCCAGTGTCGCCCATAACCGTTCACTTCATCATATTTGCATAATCTTTCGTTCGATACTAGGAGGATATAAACCAGGGTAGGCAGATGCTAGAGGTTAACACTTAACACTCCAAGTCAAACGACACAACTGGGCAGAAAATGGTTCCGATGTTTTAACAGAACGGAGAAACATTTTGCAGTCGTCTACAGAAAGCAACTCATCTCTACCTGGTTTGTATCTTTCTAGTTGTAAGGCTCAAATAAAAAAAAAAAAAAAAAAAAGAAAAATTAAAAGAAAATAAAAGGGATCATTGCTACTGAACAGAGGATTCTGCATAGCAACGGGAAGACAAAGGGACTGGACACTGACCCACTACAGAGGGCGAATCAACAGGACGTGTAAGGAAGTTGGCACATGGTGGTCCTCTTTCTTTCTTTCCTAGAGTGATTTCACTTTGAAATGCAACGAGTCTAGTTAGCGGTTAGTGTGAGGTTTGATGCGCCGGAGCTCTAGCCTAGTGTTGTACAAAGTTTTAAAGTGTGGCATGATCTCCAAGCATCTGGCAGTTTGAGTTGGTGCCATTCTGCAGTGGCTGAAAGCAAACCCCCACTCCTAAAACCCCCCACCCCCACCCACCCCTCCCATCAAAGCTCACCCATTCATAAGGCTACAAAGGTGGGAGCTAAAGTTTGATCATCTGCACAGCAGCACAGGTACGAGCACATGGAAGGACACGGTTAGACAACCACTATAGTTTGCTTGGGAACAGAAGACTAGAAAAAAAATTAGGTGATTCCACTCAGCTACATGGATGAAGCAGGAAGAGGGTGGAAACCTTCATCTGATGAGCCTGAACAGCACCGATTCAAGCCCCCCCACCCTCATTCCTGCAAAGGCAACTAAGATCAGGGCAGCTCACGTAAAACGTAGTGATGTCTGGTCACCACTATTTGGTATAACAGTTTCAAACCATGATGATTTGTCTGGTCTAAACATTTAAAACTTCAGTCTTTGTTTTTTTAGACGGAACGGCGAGGCGAAGGCGAGTGACGCAGATACGAAGCTCAATGAATTACAGGATCTGAAAGCTCTTTCTGTTTGGACTGGTGACCCTAAAGGGTAGATCATGATGGAGGACGATTTTCTGGAGGGTCAGCGGGCAGTCCAGGTCTAGAGGGTAAGGAGGGGGATGCAGACGGGGAAGATTTGTTACATTATTATTTTGATCGGCAGCAGAAACGGCTTTAAAAGCGTTTGGGCCCCCAGGGGGAAGCCTTGGCCTGGACTGGGGCTCCAAAGCTTGGGAAATCCTCAGAGCTGCTCATGTCCGGGGCCTAAAGGAAGAAGAATGGTTATGAAAACCAAAGCGTGGGATGTTCTAGAAGCAGCGATCCAGGTAGAGACTCACCTTCTCGCTGTTGCTGGCCCAGGGGGCCTCCCTCACCACGAAACCTTTGGACTGACCGCGCTGCTCGTCCACAGCAGCGACGCTGCCGCCCGGTGGCCTCATGTACGCCATCTTCGCCTCATTTTCCACAACGTCTGACAACTGATGATGTAGAAATGTCAGACATTTGGTTTGCCATCATGAGTGACTGAGAACATGCAGGGAGGAGCTTACATATTCCTCTTCCAGGTTCAGGAGATGATCTATGGCTTCATCCACATGTTCAGGGCGACCGATCACCGCCACAATGTTCGGGTCTGCAGCTCCGCTCTGTGGAAACCTGAGATCAATCTAAAAAGATTGACAGAAAACAAAAGAATTATAATCCAGTCATCATAGTGCAGCCATTTCAATAAAAGGTGGGATTTCTGTAGCAAAATATATAAACCTTTTTTTTAAAAGTTAATCCCACCAAACTGACATGAACAGCCAGTAAATATTACCGTCTACGGCCACAAGAGGACGCTCTAAGCTTAAGAAAAGAAAATCCAGTGCTTTATAATCTGCAGAGTAAAAATAAGGAGCAGCAGGAAGAAGGTTTGGAGAGAGAGAACCTTTAAGGTTATTCTCACAGAAAGAAAACTTAAAAAATCCATACGGCAGATGAACCGCGCAGGCGGTGGAGGAAAAAATGATTTCAGAAGTACAAGTACTTTTAATATATTGTTTTAAATTATTTTTTAAATATAATTTCAGCGTGTCTGTTTCAGCAATAAGAGCTCGACTGATTTATAAAGACGCTTTATCAGGTCAATATCAGTAAATACTCAAAGCTCCAATATCAGTGCTGTAAATGAAAGTTATCAGGACATCCCTCTTAAAGAGTGGTGCAGAGTAGAGGCCTGTGCATCGCAGATTTTCCAGTCCTGCGCCCCCCCCCCCCCCCCCCCCCCGCACCTGTAATAGTTTGTCCCGCCTGCAATTCCCACATAATTACGACGTTCACCTACTGCTCAAGGCAATTCCTGTCATTAGTTTGAGGAATTAAACACGCTGTGCTTAGCTGAGCACATTACTGGCCGAGTCTTCACCGCATAGAGCATGATGCGCGTTAGGTGGCACAAGCTGCAATATGCAGCACATTGTGATAGATATAGATATATATATATATATATATATATATATATATATATATGATAGACCTAGACTGATAATTTATGACTTTATTTTACATTTTAAAACGCGTTTTGGGTTCGCCGGACTGCCGCTCATCAGCGCTCCAGCCCGCGCCCGCACTGTGCGCTCTTCCTCCCGCCCTCAGCCACTATGAGCTTTCAATATTTGTCCCGCACTGCTTTGGGTTGGGTCCCGTAGCAGTGCAGGGCACTAGTGCAGAGAAATACAGGATTAATTTAAAAACTAAACTAGAAAAGTCCAAGAATAAACAGTTTTAATATTTGTTTAATAAGGTGGAAGACTTCCTCCCCCGCCCCGGATCTCCCCAGCATTATCCGCATCGCCATTACATTTTAAAATGTGTTTTTTTTCCTTTTAAAAAATGTGGATAAGAGGAGACTGAAACATTTGTTGGATAAGTTTCAACATAGCTACCCACATGAAGGATCAGCCGTTCCTGCTGCCGGCGTAACATTAGAACCACATTCTGTTTCTCCAAATGGTACGGATATTTAATACTAGCTGACCTGATAAAGTATGACTTTCCTGATCACAAAACCTTATTTTCTAGGGTTCAGCACAGAATCGACGTTTCAAAAGTTCAGTTCTCCAGGAATAGTTTAGAGTTTTTATTTCCTCTAGGTTTAGAGTAGATCCAGACTTGGCACCGCACACTCACCTTAAACTCATCCATGATCTTGCGGATGCCTTTTCCCCGAGCTCCAATAATGCGAGCATGAACCCTGCTGTCCAGGGTGATTTCCTCAGTGATCATCTCTTCCAGCTCTCCCACAATATTTTGGATGGCATCTCGTGCAGCGATGGCATTTTGCTCATACCCTGTAATGGTGATCTGATCCTGAAAAGGGGGGGGGGGGGGGGAATTCTTACATATGGAGTGAATTACCTTCCATTATGGTGGCAAACAAAACATTTAATTTTAAAAAAATTCTAAGTTATGAGAATCTTTTTCTCGGTTTTTTTCACATTTTCTTCCCTAAATTTTTCAGATAAAACTTTTAAAAATTTTTCAAATGTTCTTTAAACATATTTTACACTTTCATTTAAACCAAATTTCTGTTTTGTTTTTGTTTTGTTTTTTTCTCCGTTAAAGTCGTAGGGAAGCGGCTGTTCCAACAGTTTTATTTCCGAAAGTGAATGTGATTGGAAATTAAAGGGGGCGGGATTGTTATGGCGGAAGGTTCACAAGCAAGTTTGGTTGCGGCCGGTTTGTGGGAAGCATCTTGCTAACCAGTTAGCATCTTAGTGCTAGCAGGTTCCCAATGGGAAATTCCATTGGGACCAAGTAGCACTAAATTGGTGACTTAGAAACGACGCTGTCAAGGAACGCTATGGACAGCGGAAACATGCAAGAGGAGGAGAGTTTAGTGTCGGAGGTCGTGGATGAGTCTCCTCCGTCATCCATTTTTTATTTAGAGGAGGAAAGCGGGGACGAAGATGTTGTGGAAGAGGACGCCAGGGCGGCAGAAGCTTGGTTTGGTGTAGAAGGCTTCCAGCCGTACATGTTTGAGCCCTTGCCTCGCAACGCTGCCAGTTCTGTTAGCTCTACGCCTGCCGAAGACACAGACGTCCATCCCCGTGAACACTGGGACGCAACTCAATGGGAAAGGAAAGGATTCTGATTTCAACCGTTGCGTATATTAGCTGCGACATATGAATCAAGATGCTATGACCGAAAACATTTGATTGACAGATGACCGTTGATATATGATTGGCCGAATTTAGGTGTTCAGGCTGACGTAGAACTAACTGGCCTGCAGAAGATAACGGAAAAAAAATCCAGATTTTAAGACAGGATTTATTTTTAAATAGAAATTTTCTAACTTTTGGGACAATATGGTCTGATAAAGAGTACATTTATATACATGTTTAAGCCAGAATGATTTGACATTTAAATATGATTTCCCTACGACTTTAAGTCTTATTGAGTTTTAAAAATTGCGTTCTATAGATCACATTGTCTTTAATTAAAGGGGCGGGCTTTCCTCTGAGGTCTGCTGGACGTTAGCAACATTTTTATTGGTCAATCTGTGCGTGAAAATGAAGCATTTGTGTTTGACTTGAAGGGAAAAGAATCTAATCTGTGAAACGCAATTTAAGAAAATAATCACCCGAAAAAAAAAAAAAAAAAAAGAAAAAGAAAAAAAGATATTTGAAAAGAAAAAATAAATTCTGGGAATAAATTCTTTGAAAAACTACAATTAAATAAATTCAAATCACTTAAAATATACATATATAAAATCTGTTAAAAAAAGAAAAAATGTAAAATATATATAAACAAAAGAGTAAAATGCCTCGAGTGCTTTTTTTTTATCATTTCTGGAACATATTTTCTGCTTTCAGAAGTAAAGCAACAGACTCGCCTCCCTTCCTCCACTCATTAGGAAAAGTGTTGGAGCTGTGAATGGACCTGATGTGGCCTAACTTACCTGGTTTTCATCATTCTTCTCTGGGAACTGGATGTTGACATCATGCATAGTGCGGATGTTTGTAATGACGGCGCCTTTGCGCCCGATGATTTTTGGGTGATGCTTTGGGTCCACAGTGATGGTCAGCTTGAAGCTCTTGAGTGCCTGTTGGAGGTTGAGGGGGAAAACGGCTCGTTAAGTTCATCCAGCACATTTTCCTCCCCCGTTTAAATGTAATTAAGTTCCTTTGAGAATGACACCTTTCAATCGAAACTTCTTTATTGTCAACTACAATTTACATTGTAATCGAAATTTCAGTTTCAGACAACCTGAATGAATTTTTGACCATAAAGAAGCCACGATAGAGTATTAGGGCCAGGATAGAGATTCTTTTATTTTACTTCAAGAATAAAATCATAATTTTCTGAGAATAAAATGTAAAAATAAAGAAGCTCCGCCTATCAAATGACGGCAGACCAGCTCCACCAATCAGCAACCAGAGTTCACTTTGACATCCTGCCCAGTTTGATGCTGCTGCTAAAAGATTTGCTGATTTGTCAAACTGATGCTAAAGTAGAACTTCACATGATGCTCCACATTCCTCATTTTAGGGAGGACAGGGCTTCTTGGAAGAGTTGTAATAAAATACAACTTTATTCTCCCACTCCACCCACTTTATTCTCCTAATAAAAACAAAGTTTAAAACCAACCCGATCCTCCTGCTCAGCCTGCAGCTCCTTGACTCGCTCCAGGAGGCCCTCTTTGGCGCGGTCAAGGTGAGAGGCCAAGCCGGTGATGGCTATTTTATCACACTGCTGGTCAGGAGGAGGCACTTGAATGTTCACCTGAAAATATTTTGAGCTCATGAGAAAAAAAACATCCCTAAAAAATCTAATATTTTAACACCAATTTTATAAGACAGCACACCTCAAATTCATCCATCATTTTACGGATTCCACTTCCTTTCTGTCCAATGATGTATCGATGAAGCTCAAAAGGCACTTCCACCTCGATGGTGACGGGAACCAGGGCCTACAGACGGAACTCATTTAGATGGGAGGAATAAATACCAAGGCAGTCTTTAGGCGTCTGCTCTGACCTTTAGCGCCTCCACAGCCGACTCGCAGCGCTCTTTGCGTCCAGAAATCAAAATCACATCACACTTTTTGGGAGCATTGGGGTCGACCGGTTCCTTCGCTTCGCCGTCAGCTTCTCCGTTCTCCTGGACAGGAGCTTCAGCAGGAGGCGCTGCTAAAGAAACAAATAATGAAGGCTGGGAACGACAGAGCAAATCGCCTCCTCCCTCTTTGGACGAACATTAATGAGGAAGTACGTGACGCAGCTTTTACCTTGTGGATCCTCACGTTCTGGAAACTTTATCTGCACGTTATGATCTCTGGTGATCTGCTGGATCCTTGATCCCTTGGGACCCATGATAGAACGGTGGAACTTCTGAGGGATGACGCACTCAACAGTCACCTGGGCATCCTGGAGAAAAATAGATTTAGATTAAAAATCGGGTAAAAACTAAACCAAATAAAGACAGCAAGTCATTACTGACCAAGTCCTCGACTATCTCCAGCATGCGCTTCTTGGCTGCTTCCACACATTCTTTGGCTCCTTTGAGGGTGACCTTCTCGCTCTGAGAGCCGGTACGAGGGAAGCTCACCATGACCCCTCCGTACTCATCAGCCAGGTCCCTGAGGACCTGACCCCGGCGCGCCACAAAGTAGCGATGATGCTTTGGGTCCACACTCATCGTGTCCTCCACCACGTTGTCCTGAAACCACAAAGATACGGTTACCATTTTAACCCAAAAGACTGACCAAACCAGCGCATTCAGCTCGGCAAAGAACTCATGCTCTTCCTCAACACTGAAGTCCTCAGACATTTTTCTTTCGTTGTTTCTTTCTTTGCACAGGTAAACAGCACATTTCTTCTTCTACGCTTGCATTATCGGCAGAGCAGACGCTGAATGCGCACTTTCATCTGGTTTGGTTTGCCGGCTTCCGTAGCGTCGTGAACGCGCATGTGCGCGCTTTCAGGAAATCCTATACACTACTGTTTATGCTCAAAAAACATTCTAAATGACTTCGTTTCGAGTAGTTCTGGACGCTACCCACTCAGGACACTTGGAATACATTGGACGACCAGTATGGAGGAATATTGACACGTTTTTTGTGGACTTTTATGGACCTTTCTGCCTCGGGCGCCATAGACCTCCATTATTTGAATGTCAGCAGACAGCAAGAAGCCTCCCAGATCTCCAGATGCATTTGAGATATCAAAAAAGTACTCCAGAGTGTTGTTCAGCATGGGGGTGAGTAGAAAATGAAGGCTTATCATGTTTTGGGTGTACTATTCCTTTAAGACTGACGCCAATAGTGCGCAATGCAATACATCGTGCACGGAAACAATTTAAGAGCAGAAAGTTGCTCGGTGTTTGACTGCAAGAAGAGCGGACCGCAGCCGGCGCTCTCAGCAGCCCGTGGGCGGAGCAAAGCCAGAGCGGAGTGAATCATGCTGCTTTCACACTGGACGCAGCAGGAGCTGCAAAATCACGTCTGCCGCTTCCTTTTTGCTGCTTGTACCAGCTTCTGACGCGCGGCTGAAGCAGCTTTGCTGCTCTGGCTGCGCGGTCGAAAAGTGGCTCTGACGCGCGTTGGGCGGAGCTACTCTATCCTTTATTCGCCTTGCAGCTATATTTGCTGTGATCAGTGGGAATAAAGTAGTTCTAATATGTTTTTAAGTGGGAAAATCCACCTGAGAACTTCATCAGTGCAGTCAGTTCATCCTGCCTTCCAATATTTCTGTGGGAGCCGCTCAGACCCCCCCATACCAGCGGTGCGCTGTCAGTAGGAATCCCATTTAACGGGCTTGTTTGTCAGACATGGTAATTTTTCTAAAGGAAAACTGCTAAGTAAAAAGGTCCTCACAATGTAACAGTGAATATTAGACACTGAATTTTTTTTTTTATGTAAGAGGAGAAATGTTAATGGAAAAATCAGAGCTTAAAATAAAACTCAAGATTTGTACTTTTTTATGTTGTGTAATTTTCTTCGAATTGATATTATGAAACTGGTATCGAAAAAAGTATCGTTCAGGAACCGGTATCGAAGTGAAGGTATTGGTACCGGCACCGAAAATTTTTGAACAATACCCAGCCCTAGCAGAAGGTGAAGAAAGCCTGTCGCTCAAAGCAGCAGATGGTCAGTTACAGTAGAAGAGCCGAGCGCGGCCTTTAAATGAAACCAGAGAGCGCCGGCGCATCACCTCCGACAGGAGCCGTCCTGTGGCATTATGGGATGTTTGAAGCGATTCATTTTGTTTTCACTGAGATCATCACTGCTGAGACTAAAGCTTTTCTTCAAATGTTGACGTTTGCCCCAGTTAAAAAAAAGAAAAATATATAAAATACAAACGAGTGGGAGGTTTTGCTTTTTTTTTTTAACAATAAAGCAGCTTTTATTTGTATTTATTTTTCTAAACCACCCCGATAAGTAAAGAACAGAGCAGGTGGGTTTAACAGACTTTAACAGGATGATTTTTTTAAGAATCAAACATGGAGTTTGATTGCATTTTCAGAGCAGCTGTCTGAACTGAGGTCTGATCCAAGATGGCTGCCCTCTAGACAAGTCGGCCAGCGTCCAATGAGACGTCTCCGTATACGTCATCTATGGGTTGAGTTAGTTGAAATTTTGCTTCTGCAATGATTTACATCTCTATAGATTCAGAGCTAAATTACAGCTTTGAACTGATTGTAGTTTCTGATTTAAAGCCGTTCATGAAAACCCTAAAAAGAACAAAAAAACAAAGCTGCTAAATTTAGAAACGTTTAAATCTCCTGGACTTACCAAACCCTTGATCAGCTCCTCCAGCTCCTTCTGGGCCGTCCGCACCGCCTCCTCTGTGCCGACCACAGTGATGACTTCTTGGTCTTTGTCCTCAGAGGTGGGGAAGATGATTCTGGCTCCGGTGCTGTCACGCACCTTGCGGATGTTTCCGCCCCCTTTTCCAATCAGAAACTTGTGGTATTCTGGCTTTGCGTGCAGCTCGACAGTGAAACTCTTTATTTGCTGTAAAAAGACCAGTTATAACAAAAAAATTTAATTGAAAGATAAACTAGATTCTAAGATAAACTTTGGTACAGCATAACAAAGGTTGTGCTACAAAGTATCAAGCTGAACATTTGTTTTTAATCAAATAATTAATTTCCATCATCATTTCAAATGACCATACAATGTGATGCATGATGAAAATTACAGATTCAATCTTTCCTAGTTGGACTTTTAGTCCGTGAGGCATGATAAAGCTTCTAGTTAGAGTGGCTCAGGTTATCCTCAGCTATCTCTATAGTTCTGCTGCTATAGGCTTAGACTGCTGGAGGACATAGGGACCCCTTTTTCATCATTCTATCTCTATTCTCCCACTCTGCAGAATCTGTTAGTTCAATCTCTAACGTTCTGCTCTCTCTGCTTTTTCTCATAGTAGCTTCATCTGGTCTGTTCCTGTTTGGCTGTGACTCCATCCTGGAGAGAAATATCAGCTGTGCTGCTGCCATCAACACCTTTGTTTCTAGATGCTGGAGCTTGGCCTGTTTTCCAGTGTAGTCCTGTTTCTCTGACTGTGACTAACTGGATGTGCTCTCTTCATCCTCTGACATGGGAGCTGGCTCGGAGCTCGTCTGCCTGGCTGTGTGTTTCCTGGACGGGGCCGCCTGTGGAGCTGGTTGACAGTTGCCTTTTGTATCTATGCTTCTTTTTCTATGTCTGCTTCTGTCTCCTTGAACCCCAGTGGGCCTCAGCAGATGGCCGCTCACACTGAGCCTGGTTCTGCTGGAGGTTTCTTCCTGTTCAAAGGGAGTTTTTCCTCTCCACTGTCGCTACAAACAGGGATTGCCTTTGAGTCAATGAGTCGATGCAATCAGTCGGTTTTTCTTAAAAAACGTTGACTGGATGATCTGGTGAACTGGAAAGTGCCTACAGACGACACATGTTGTGAATTGGCGCTACAGAAATAAAGTGAATTGAATTAACTAAATACTAATCTGTCCCTCTATAACCGACTGACCACCAGTCCCCCTCCCCATCTATACAAACCTTTTCCTCTGCCAAAGCAAGCAGCTGCTGCTTTGCTTTCTCCACCTCCTCCACAGGCCCCCGGATGGTGACTTTATCTATCCCTGATCCCTCAGAAGGAAAGTGGATGTGCACGCCGTCACACTCCTCCATGATGGAGCGCACCAGACGGCCCTTTGAACCAATCAGGGAGTTGTGCAGCTTTGAGGGGATGGACACATCCATCTCTGTGATGTTGGCCTGCAAGCAGAGAGGGGATGATCAAACTGGAGTTTTTTTTTTAAGACGGCGTGATGGCAGCAGTCCTCCATGTTTACCAGCTCTTTCTGAATCGCCAGAATGCGGTTCTTTGCAGCTTCGCAGTTCGCCTTCTTCCCAGTGATGACGATCATCTCAGAGTTGCTGTTTTCTGCAGGCAGGTCGATTTTGGTGTTGGTTTCCTCTCGAATCTACGGCAGAAACGACCAACACTGATCAAAAAGCTGCTCTCACAGACCGAGCTGTTGCGTTAGTGACATCCAGCACCTTCTTGATGTTGGACCCTCCTTTTCCAATGATGTTCCTGTGAAACTGCTTGAAGATGGGGACGGAGAGAGAGTAGCTGTTCTCCACCTACGGCAGATGGGGAAAAAGCCATCAAACCAGAAGCTGAACACAATAGCTGCACTGCTGTGGCGCTCGGAATGGAAAGCTCACCATTTCAGCCACCATCTTGCCCATGAACTTGGAGCATTTCTCAACCTCGTTCCGCGGCCCTCTGAGTTGAACGATGTCACTCTTCTGTGCTGGGTCAGGGAAGTTGATAATGACCTGGAAGAAACCGACTCGTTTAGAGACATTTTCTACAGAGATGACCGTTAGCAAACTGATAAAAGCGGTTCGGACTGACCTCTGGAAATTTATCCCGCACTTCCTTTATCTTCTCCCCTTTTTGGCCAATGATGGCTCTATGAAAACGCTGTTCGATGATCAGGTCCTTTGTACGCTCGTTCTCCTGCAAACCCAACAAGTTCTTTAGCGACACGTGGTTCTGTAGTTAGACCACACAGCGTCCGTCTACCAACCATGCGTGACGCCAGCTCTAGCAGCTCCTTCTTGGCTTCCTGGACACCCTGGGGATCCCCCTCTATACGGATCAGGTTGCTCTTCTCGTTGTCAGGAGGGATGCGGACAGTCACCTTGTGCAGCTCTTTGATGCGGTTGACTAAGAGTGAAAATCGAAAACGATGTTTTCAGTTTAAAGAAAAGCTCACGGCTCATGTAGCTTCAGGATTTGATGGAACAGGCTTACTGTTGACGCCGCCTTTTCCAATCAGGTGACGATGGAATTTAGGATCCACAGAGATCTCCGCATAGTCCATTCGACTTACCTGTTAGAAAGGCAAAGAATATTTCTGATTGGATCATTTTATACTCCATATTCACTGGTTGGTCTAATCTAGGCCTCTGCAATCGTTACAATCCAAATAGCCATTTTTGACTTCAGTCCAGCAAAGAGCAAAAAATATAGGGTGCCGCAGCACAAATAATTGGATAAATGTATAATTAATCTATTAAAACTGAAAATATAGAACATATCATGAACCTCAAATATATATATTTTTCTAAAAATAGTGAATTCAATTCTGTTATGATTTAATAGATTTCATGTTTGTGCGCTAAAGCACACCATGACTGAATTTAAACCGTCACACATCCATCAAAATAAAGGAGGCGGGACTAGGGATGCTTCCATAGAAACCCTGACATCTGATTGGCTGCTTTTCACTGAGAAAGATCACTTCTTCCTGGAAATGTAAACCATTTTCTACAAAGTGTTTTTATTTATATGCAGCACACTGGTGAGTAATTCCAGCCTCTATACTTGTAGTTCGGTAGGTTAATAAGAGAAGGTGAGCTGCTGTTAGTGGGCGGGGCCAACATTGAGTCTGGCTGTCTGTTCCATCGTAAATTATTAGATATACATAAGATCAAACTAGACATACAGACGCTAGAGTCGCTCCTCCAATGTGCAAATAGATCGGAAGAAATTAATGAAGTCATTTTGGCCTTTTTCAGAGAAAATATTGACTTAAAGAGTAAAAGAAAACCTGGAGAACGTCCACCAAATTTCTCAGTGAAAAACAGCCAATCAGACGTCAGAGTTTCTGAGGTTAGTTTGGCCCCGCCTCCTTACCTTTGATAGATGTGTGACAGTTAAACTCATGGTGAGCTTCAGCTCAAGAATATGAAATAATTTATTTAATCATGAAATTATATTAACTTTTTTAAGAGTAAAAACAAAAAACATTTAATTGCATATTACCAACTATAATTAAATTCTGTATTATTAGCTTTAATTGATTGCATAGTGGACACTACACAAAAAAGATAGATACCTATACTTAAATATCTTTAACAGAATTTCTTGTCCTATTAAATGAGATTTTTTTTTTATTTTAACTTTTAAAATGAAAATATTCTTTTTTTTTTTTCTTCAAAGACAGTTTTGAGGAATTAAGGAGCAGAAAGTGCAGATATTTGTGTTTAAATGTGCTGAATAAAAGTGAAAGATCTTGAGAAAAATCAATCAAAGTACAGAAACCTGAACCATCTGTAGGTGGTTAGTCCAAATCTCTGAAATGTAACCAGAGCTACTAGTGTAGATATTCATAGAGTCACAGTAGATCAACAGATCCAGTCTCAATAAAAGCTACATGTTGGTGTAACTTCAGCAAACAACCATTTTAAGACAGTTTTCCTGGGAGCCACGGACGGCTTTGCAGAAAATGTTTGGGTTTTTATCTTTAGAGCTCACCTGAGAGCATTTTTAGATTGCAGACTTATGAGTACGGAGGGAACTGAAAGATTTCATTTTATATCATCTGTAGAAAACCTAACCTCTGCTGCTACCAGCAAACAAAGTCAGTCCTCACCAAGTCCGTAACAATGGCTTCAATCTGACCCTGCACCATTTGCACGTCTTTGGTTGGTCCTTCCAAGGTGATTTTATCTTCGCCCTCAGTGAACTCAATGTGCACCTAAATAAAAAGATCAGTAACGTTAAGACCAAGAACACAGAGCTTTGATTTCCCACTCAGACGGCTCTCACCTTGGGCATCTGTTGGGTGATCTTAGCCAAGTTCTGTCCCTTTTTGCCAATAATGAAACGATGAAGCCAAGAAGGAGCCGACACCGAGGAAACAGTGTAACTGTTTGCCTGCAGTTAAAAACAGATTGTTAATTTTCCATAAATTCCCCTCCTCTACCCCCTTCCTTTGAAAGCAGCCTGACCTTGGCGTAAACTTCAGTGAGGGCCTGCCCCAGGCGGTCAGGCTCCCCACGAAGGATGACTGTTTCTGAGCTGTTGTCAGAAGGTGGGATCTCAACCGAGACTCCAGTTTTATCCAGGATCTCCTGCAGGGTGTTTCCCTTGGGGCCGACTACGTACTTGTGCTGCGACTTCTTCACCTCCACCGCTATCGTGGTCGTGTTCTTCCTCTGCAGGAGACAATTTTAAATCAATTCATTTTATTTCTATAGCTCCAACTCACATCATGTCATCTCAAGGCACTTTGAAAACCAGCTGATTGCATCGACTCATTGACTCTTCAGCAATCCCTCACACTAAGCATGCTTGTAGCGACAGTGGAGAGGAAAAACTCCCTTTGAACAGGAAGAAACCTCCAGCAGAACCAGGCTCAGTGTGAGCGGCCATCTGCTGAGGCCCACTGGGGTTCAAGGAGACAGAAGCAGAGAAACACAATGTGTGAAACATTTCCCCCCCCCTCATCCACATACCTTCTCCTCGTAAATCTTCTTGATCAAAGCCACAGCAAGGGCCACCTGCTCCTTCTCCCCAGTGATGACGATCTCGGTCTTATTCACGCTGGGAGGGGGGACGTTGATACGAGCGCCTGTTTCCTGCGTCATCTCTGCCACTACCTTGTTGTAGGCCCCGGTGATAAAGGGATGGTAGACCTTATCGATGTTCACCCTCTCCACAGCACGCTTGTCCTTTAAACAAAGACCAGTTCATGGAGAAATGAAATCCTCCACCTGCAGAGGTTTCCAGGTGTCATGCTTCAGGGTGTTGAACATTACCTGCTCGGCAGAGATCAACAGGATCTCATGCTTTGCCTTTTCGAGACCCTCCTTCGTCCCAGAGATCTTGATCTGGTTGCTGAGGTCGTCGGGTCGTGGGATCTGGATTTTGGTGGCGGTCTTGAGTTCAAGCTCCTGAAGCTTCTCCCCGTTTTTGCCGATGACAAAACGATGGTGTTCCTTGGGGATGGCGACAGTAGCTGAAGCCTGTTGGGGTTAAGGGGAGAAAAATAAAATTATTTTATCATCCTTCTCCAAAGCAACGCGTGTTGAACGACAAATGAAAAAGCTGCATACCTGAGTCTGCAGTCGGGACACGATCTCCTTACGGGCCTTCATCACGGCCTCCAGCTTCCCAGAAACCATGATGGAGAGGCCCTGGTCTTTAGCCAAGGAGAGCTCCAGGTGGGCTCCAGTCTTGTGCATGATGTCCACACAGACCTTGGCCTGGTCTCCTTCTCCAAACTGGTTGATGTCCTTGTACTTGCGCTCCTCCAGCGGCACATGGAAAACCTGGATCATATAAGGAGGAGGATCAGATTTAGAGTTTTTGCTGATTGTGCACCGATTGTGGAACGATGCCCACAGCGAAACAGGTGCAGCCTGTGAAGTTATGGACAAAAAGGTTAAAATTTATTTTACATCCTTAGAGAGATAAAGCTCTGACTGGGGCAAGCCCAGCACACACATTTATATTGTATAAATCCCAACACACTCTCCCTTGGAACCATCCCACCCCTGAATAAAGAACTTTCGCACACAAAAAAATTTGGAGGAAAACAGCAGTTCATCAATGACATTCCCTGATAGGTTAATACATCTTTTAGTGGCCAGATAAACATTTCACAACAACGTCTTCTGTTCACAGCATAAGGAATCCTTAAGCATGTCTCTATATTTCACCTTTGTCTAGAGTAAGGAGGTAGCTGCTTTCCGTCATTCCTACCGTAAACATTACAGCATAGAGGCGGGTACAAGATTTCTCTAAACTCACTTCAACTAGGCCAAGAAAAAGCACGATCTAAATATTTAGCCTCACAAATAGGCCGAGGAGAAACAAGCTTTCACAACCTTCATTAAGGAAGGAAATTAATTGTCAAATCAAAGGTTAGACCGGTGGTTCCCTGAGAGGGTTTCACAATCAGATAAATAATAACTTGGAGAGGTTTCAAACATTTTTCGGGAAAGAATAAAATTAACTTTCACCACAAATTTTTTTAAACAGTAAAATAAAAAGTTTATTTTATTACAGTTCAAAAGCTGTATATTTGTGATTAAAAGATTATAGTTTAATTTATTTCACTATGGTTCACTGCTGCTTACTGTTGACTCTTTTTTTGGCCTCCTCCAATAAATGTTAAGTTTACTTATGTTATCTTGCGCCTGCCTCCCGTTATGGTGCGTGCACGTCGAGCGCGGTGATTTACTCCAGCAGGTAGTTCACCGCTCTGCAGTGTTTACACCCTGGACCGCATCATCAAATAGGAGGAGATTCAGCTGCGTGAAGCAGAAACCCCACTGACATTAAAAAACTCAGCAATAGACTGAATAGTTATTGCTTCTTCAAGTCCCAGTGCTGTATCTGGTGTTTGTCACAACGCGCTATTATCCAAGTCATCTTGAAAACATTCTTCTTCCAAATGTTGGCTACATATTACGGGTTTTTTCTCTGGCCAGAAGTTCGATGGCAAATCCTCCCTCTTCAAGTTGGCGATCCAACGACCAACCCGTCCGTGGATGATCAGGAATCAGAAAGGTGGAATAACGTTTTTTTTTTTCCCACTTTTACCCGATGTATTCTAGGGGTGGAACAGTTCACAAAATCCACGGTTCGGTTCGGTTCATGGTTTCGTGGTCACAGTTTTCGGTTCGGTATATGTTGATTGTTAGCCTGACATGTTGCTGTTAGCATAAAACGTGTTGCACAATATTTGCACACTGTTGCACTTTTATCCACACGCTGCTTCGCTTCTTCTTCTTCTTCTTGTTTACTACTGGTGGTTGGCTTTGGTCGCAGTACTGCCACCTTCTGCTCTGCAGTGTAAACGCTTCGCCTATGAGAAAAAGGAGCAGCGCATGAACCGAACGCAACACACGCGAACCGAACCGAACGGTTCGGACGGTTTTCATAAACCGTTCCATCCCTAATATATTCCAGCATCCAGCTGCCACGCACGTGGGCATTGTCAGTTTCACTATAGCTCTGGTGAATTTCAATGGTGAAGTCCTCTGGAAATCTTCAATAGTTGTTGTTGATTGCAGATGTGTCTAGTAGTTCCCATTGATTTAGCTTGTAAAGCGGGGAGAATGGCGCTAGGCTTACCGCACCGTGACGTCACTGCTGGAAGATGGCAGGAGGGAGGGGTTACTATTTGGACAAAAATGGCCACACCTGGATGAAAATGATTTTTTTCAGGGTTTTTTTTGTTTGTTTTTTTATTCCTTGCTGACCGTACTTTTCCTTTAAGAAAACAGTCAACAGGATTTATTGACTGTAGATTAATTTAATCTGTAACAGCGATCAACGGAAATTATAAACTGATAAATGGACATTAAGTCAGTCCAATAACTCTGAAATACAGCATCAGGAGTGTTGGTTGTATAATAGCAGCGGTGCTGGTATACCTGGGTGATAATGGAGGACTTCAGAGGGCGAATCTTTGATGTCCACGCGTTGGCGGTTTCCTGCGTCCCCTCAGGTGTGGCCGCTTTCTCAGGAAGAGGTGGGAAGGCATCCTTGTAGGTAGGAAGGTCTTCCTCATCTTCACCACTGGGGCCTCCAGCAGCTAAAGGAAAAAAAAAAAAGTCAGATGAAATTTCTCTGCTTACTAAAAATAAACAAGCAGAAATGATGGACTCACCACCACTCTGCTCTGGCAAAAGCCCACTGCGGTGCTCAATGAAGCTTTCCTGCGTAAGTACAGCGACTGAGCTCATGGTTAGGATCCCACGTCAAACACAGAGTCCGAGCGTTCCACTGAGGAGAAACAACCACAGGGTGAATAACACGCAAAGCAATGGCTTCAAACTGGACACTTATTTCACATTTTTATTAGTTGGAAAAGTGTTTAATGTGATTTGACTTGCTAACATAAAACATATTAGTCATGTACGGAAAATCCCTTTTTGTCTGAATTCTGACAAAGTATTTACACCAATGGCTTAGGGCTGGGCAATATGAAGAAAATCTAACCTCACAATATATTTGGGCTTTATATCGCGATACACCATATATCCAGATATGTTTAAATTACCTTCAAAAACAATAAATTGCACTGATATATTCATTCAAACTTTTGGTTTCTAATTTAATTTTAACCATCTCAAAGCTTTTCACTAATATTCACTAATAATTCCATGATGTCTTTGGGTGTCGATATTAGACCCTTATCAAGATTCCAGCAACAAAACAGGAAACAAAGCAAAAACATTCAATACTAAATAAAATGAAAAATAAGGGCTCTTTTGGGCATTAATAAAAAAAATGCGGAATGAAAAAATAAAATTACACATAAAAAGTGGAAATACTGTCCAAAATTTAAAGGCATTTACATAGCATCTCCAAACTATTAGCACTGATCTTTACCTGCTGAGAATTTTAAAACAAAAAGTGATAAAGTTTAGAACATTACCAAGTTTAGAAAAGGCCTGTAAAACCGCCGAAGACCAAATAACATCACAGATTTAGAGCATCTAAAAACATTAAAATGACGTAATGGTGTCTGTGATGTCCCTCCATCTTTGAAGCAACTCAGTGCTAGCAGGTTCCCAATGGGAAATTCCATTGGGACCAAGTAGCACTAAATTGGTGACTTAGAAACGACGCTGTCAAGGAACGCTATGGACAGCGGAAACATGCAAGAGGAGGAGAGTTTAGTGTCGGAGGTCGTGGATGAGTCTCCTCCGTCATCCATTTTTTATTTAGAGGAGGAAAGCGGGGACGAAGATGTTGTGGAAGAGGACGCCAGGGCGGCAGAAGCTTGGTTTGGTGTAGAAGGCTTCCAGCCGTACATGTTTGAGCCCTTGCCTCGCAACGCTGCCAGTTCTGTTAGCTCTACGCCTGCCGAAGACACAGACGTCCATCCCCGTGAACACTGGGACGCAACTCAATGGGAAAGGAAAGGATTCTGATTTCAACCGTTGCGTATATTAGCTGCGACACATGAATCAAGATGCTATGACTGAAAACATTTGATTGACAGATGATCGTTGATATATGATTGGCTGAATTTAGGTGTTCAGGCTGACGTAGAACTAACTGGCCTGCAGAAGATAACGGAAAAAAAAAAAAAAACAGATTTTAGGACAGGATTTTTTTTAAATAGAAATTTTCTAAATTTTAGGACAATATGGTCTGATAAAGAGAACATTTATATACATGTTAAGCCAGAATGATTTGAAATTTAAATCCGATTTCCCTACGACTTTAACTTGAAGAACATAAAAACCTTCAGTCACATGCTTCCATAGGGACATGCTTAATCTAATCTACTGTTATCAGAGACAAGTCATGTTCCAGAGATCAGGATCACCTTTATTACATAAGTGACCTCAAAGTAGTGTTGATACAAAAAAAAAGAAAGAAAGACGCTAAATAAGGAGATCAAACACTGATGAGAAGAACTAACTGAAAGCACAGTGCGCCATTTCCAAGAATGATAGGTGGGTGAAGGTTAAGAGGATTTCCCTCAGTGACCCCCCCCCTCTCTGTCCACAATGCAAGAGATTAAAGTCAATACCCATGAGCAAGCCAGGCCTTAGATCTTTGAGCCAAATGTTCACGTCCAAGATGAAGGGGGGGGGATAAAATAAAACGCACCATAACCCAGTATTTTCAAATTTCATTCATTTGAGGCTCTGATTAAGCTCCACTAATAAAACCTTGATTACAGTGGGAACAAATGAATACAGGGCCCCATTTCAGGCTGGATTAAACTTCATCTATGGTGAAACCTGATCTAGGCAGGCAAATATCTAGCTTCTGCGTTTTCTTTTTTTAAAAAGGAGAAAAATGAAGCCAACAAAAGGAAATATGTGAACAGGGTTTGGGTCAATTTTCACTCAACTGCGTGCTTTACTTAAATGAGACGAATTCTTCCATCCTGACGTTAACCAATAACCTGTCAAAGCCTGTCTAGTTACTACAAGGTAATGCCGTGCATGGAGAGGTTCAATAAACACCTGCGGCTTACTTAGGAACAGCCTAGTAGCTCAGCCTGGGGGTGTTGGGACTATGAAGGAACTCTAAAGGTTTAACCATCGTCTTCTGGTTCATAGCTGTGAACATGGGAAGAAACATGCTGGTATCGCTCCTGTCCTCAAGCGCGTATAAAAGGCTTAAAACAGGCCATCCAGGTACTTCCTGGTCAGGGAACCTCACTAATAATTGTCATACAGGAAAACTTTAGCATAAAAAAAAAGCTAAATAAATGTAAAAACAGAGAAACTATAGGAGGGATCAAGCTTAAGAGGTAAAAAAAAACAACAGATTTATAACAGGGATCTATCCATCTATAATGGAGTATTAGGAGAAAGATTCTTTTTTTCGAGAATAAACGTCTTAAAATTACAAGAACAAACGTCTTAAAATTACAAGAACAAACGTCTTAAAATTACAAGAATAAACGTCTTAAAATTACAAGAATAAAAGTCTTAAAATTACAAGAATAAAAGTCTTAAAATTACAAGAATAAAAGTCTTAAAATTACAAGAATAAAAGTCTTAAAATTACAAGAATAAAAGTCTTAAAATTACAAGAATAAAAGTCTTAAATTACAAGAATAAAGTTGTATTTTATGACAACTCTTCCAAGAATCCCTTTCCTCCCTAAAATGAGGAATGTGGAGCATCATGGGAAATTATACTTTAGCATCGGTTTGACAAATCAGGAAATCTTTTAGCAGCAGCATCCAACTGGGCAGGAGGTCAAAGTGACTCTGGATGCTGTTTGGTGGAGCTGGTCAGCCGCCATCTGCTGGGCGGAGCTCCAAACTTTCTTTCTGAAACGGGTTGTTGTAGGATCGCTTCCTTCTCGTAACTTTACAAATTCATTCTCAAAATAAAAAAGATCTCTAGCCTGGTCCTAATACTCCATCGTAATCCATCAGATATGATCCTTTAGCAAAGCATCATGATACATTTGTTGTGGATAAATGGCTGTTTGCTGTGTGCGTGCTAACTTACCAGCTAAATGGTCAGTTACCAGATAATCCGTCCTGTAAAATTGCAAGTTCCCGTCAGCCTGCCAGCTTTTTTTCCTGTTTAAAAAGAAAAGAGAAGGGGTGGAAATAAATACTCCAAAAGAAAACATTCCCATCGGCCTACAACTTGATGAAAAAGCAGCGAACCAAAATTGTCACTGAAGCCTTTCAGGTCATTAGTCGCTGCGGAGCAGCATGGACGATTATCACCTCCATAAACACAATGATCCCTCATGAGACAGTGTGGCATTACAGTAGAAGATATTCTATAAAAATCATTTAATAAGGGATAGGTTTTTCAGTTGGAGCATTGTTAATGCATGGACAAGTTGTCTTCTGGTTTCGAGGTGCAGGATTTATTCTGATCAGACCAATAAGGCGTCCGGGGGCTATTCATTTTGCTACAGTTTAAACCATTTTAACTTGGGGACGCCGTGCAGAGCGGCAATGTGCTGAGCTACTGCACAACATAAAAAACAAGAACTGGCTGAGACGCAGCGTGCTGCGATTTTAATGTGCAACAGACCTTATCCAGGGAAAAGTTTCACAAGTTTACGGTCCTTCAACATGCAGCCCCTCTAGCTTTGCTAATTTACATAAGACAAACCATCTGAGCGACTAGTGCAATCAGAAATTGGCACGAGCAGGATTGTGAAGCTTTTTACCTTTTAAACATCAGGAAATGGAAATGTTTGATCTTACACAGCCAACGCATGGCTTATAATCAGGCATATTACCAGATGTGGGTCAGGATCCACTTCTGTTTCAATTAGTGGCTGTCCTCCCACGTTCAGATACAGAATAACCCCAAAATGTTGCCGTTTATCAGTTTAAACCTATGAAATCCCACTAAAAAATTCCCAGAACTAAATTTGTATGCAGTCTTATGGTTTAATAAGACATTGAATCCATTCATTATGTTAATTTAATTCAGTGTTAAGCATTAAAAATACAAAAAGATTAAAACACAACCGATTAAGGCAGCACATCCTTAACTGGTCCTCTGCAAAATCTGCAGTCAAATAATTTTACGCTACTCACAGCCAAATCTTCGGTCTCCACTTAAGGTTTTATTACACGATTGATCCAAATATAAAACCGCATAAGGTTGTTCACACCATAACTAACCTAACCCCCCCTTCAGACAGGATCCAGGGAAAATACAGTTTCCAGCTTATAAATAATTTTTGATTCATCTCTTTCAGTTACACCTCTGATATATAATCACTTATTTTCAGGTATAGCTCCTTTGAGAATGAAGCTAGAATTTGTGCATTATCAGTATAGTACAGCCATTACCACTAATATATTATTAAATCATTTGAATATCTGACTGAAATACTAATGGGAATGCCCACAGATGTACATCAATCCTATCCAGGGGGGTATTCACCATTAGGTAATACATGGCAGTTGCCTAGGGCTCGAAGTTCCTGGGGGCACGAATGAAACCCTTTTACATGTACGGTTAATAAAACATTCCTTATTTGTAAACATTAATTATGTTTTTGATAAAAATCCTTTCGCTGAAACACCTTCAGAACACTTATAATATAAAGTGTGTCTCACATTTCAAAAAAGCTCCTAGCGCCAAATCTAGCAACTGTTTTCTGCTACTGGAGACTTTGGAGACAACATCTAAAAGCAGCGAACTCTGCTCTCCAGAGCGAGTAGATTGGTAACCCCGCCTCCTGCTCTCCTCTATCTTGTCTGCTGTCATGATTCATGCAGCTATTATTTCATCCAAATGAAAAATGGAGAACAGATAAGCAGATCATGGCTTGTCTACAGTGAAAAGAAGGACTGGGTTATTTACTTTGGCCTTTTTGGAAACACAGGAAGGAGCAATCAGCTAAGTGAGCTTAGTGCTTGGAAAAAATCTTTCATTCCTTTAGAGACAGCATGAAAAGTCAGCTGAGTACAAAACATAGAGAGGAAAACAAGAAGAAAAGGGACAAGAAGAGAGGGACACAACCTAGAACAGATAATGGATGTCTATTCTATTAACATTTCTCTATCTGGAGAATGGGGCTGTTTTATGTGTTGTCTTCTCAATTCAGAGGGCCCCCTGTCTGTCTTTGCCTAGGGCCCCACATTTCCTAAATCCACCCCTGATCCCAACATGAATCCCCTTAATTAATTATTATCATTTATTCTTATGTTTTTAGTTCCTTATCGATGTTTCCTTATATTTTTTCCATTTTGAAATCTGCCTCTACTTTGCCTTCCACAGATTTTATACTGTTGCTTCTGCCTTACTTGTACTTACCTAGTTTAAATAAAGTTAATTAAAACCAATAATAAATGCTTAACAGCTATTAAATTTTAAACAATTGATCATATTGTTAATAACCTGCTTATAAGCCACCGTGTTCTTGCAATAATTATATTTTCTACCGCCTGCCATCCTTTCTAACGTTATAGTGTAAATCCCAGCTTACAGACTTAAGGCAGCAGCTAACAGGATATCATGTTAACTAGCTGACAGCTGCCAACGATACTTTAAACTACAGCTAATGCTAAGTCACATCGGCTAACAGATAAAGTCAGCCTGACAAAATGTTACATCATCAGGCGAGATAACGTTAAATAAACAAGCATTTGGATAGAAGTGAGAGAGCCTCAAGGACAACCATTATCATTAGCTTGGTAGGAAACTTGCTAAAAACTTCAACTACGGCGCGTGACACGTAGCCCTCCTGCTAACAGGTAGCCTTCGGTTAGCATGCCGTACTCTCACTTAGAGAAACTGAACTTACGTCTATCGCTTTTATAGTTAGTGACATCAGAGTAAAGGCCGATTCAAAGCGGGAAATCCTTCCAACAATCAGCCCCGCATATTCAGACTGTGGTCGTGTCATTTTAATGTGGTTTGCCCAACATTAGCGCACTCACTAAAAGTACAAGTCCAACTATAGCCTAGCTAGCGAGCTAGCGTTAGCCTCCACAGCGAGCTAAAGTCCACGTAGGCACACAGCTGAGCAGGCTGAGATGACACGGAGTCAGGCCACAACATCCTGGAACATAAGGCGCTCATCCACAGCGGGGATAAAACACCCGCATGGCGGCGCCTTTATGGGCTAAAGTCACCGATGGCAGGAATATAGAGGCTGATACTGGACAGAACGAGGCGATACTCACTTATTTGATGTGTTCGTCTGCCCTGAAGGTGCAGGAACTGAAATTCCACTGGCGAGAAGGTGGGAGTGAAGCCTGGCGGATATATAGAGGACTCCGCCACCAATCATGTCCGCGAACGTCACGTCCAGGAGTCCGGTTACAACTGCCAGCAGTGAGGCTTTAATTCACAACTTCTTCATCTGAACCACCTCAGCATGGCCACCATTACTCTGGACACTGCAGTTAGAAACGATTCATTACTGGCAACAGTCTGGGAAATATTATATATGTGGAAGTTTATAAGTCATGCTAAAAATGACTGAAAGAACTGATTAAGTAAATAAATTAAGAGCTTAGCTGTAGGTTGTAGGGTTTTTATCCAGAAGAAATAAAGTTATCAGTCTAAAACAGAGGCGGATTTAGGAAATTTGGGGCATAAAGAGCTGGCTGGGATGATTAGGGCCACTGAAAACGAAAAAAAAGTTTATGGATTTTTGTTTTAGTATATATAGTATATATATAGTAGTAATATTGTTTTAGTATAATATGGGGAAAAAAGTCAGACTTAAATCTGACTTTAATCTCAGAATTCTGACTTTAATGTCTTTAATCTCTGAGACTTTCATCTCAGAATTCTGACTTTAATATCTTTAATCTCTGAGACTTTAATCACAGAATCCCGACTTTAATCTCATAATTCTGACTTTAATCTCAGAATTCTGACTTTAATCTCTTTAATCTCTGAGACTTTCATCTCTGGCTTCAATCTCAGAATTCTGGCTTTAATGTCTTTAATCTCTGAGACTTTAATCTTAGAACTCTGACTTTATCTCTGAGACTTTCATCTCAGAATTCTGGCTTCAATCTCAGAATTCTGACTTTAATGTCTTTAATCTCTGAGACTCTAATCACAGAATCCCGACTTTAATCTCAGAATTCTGACTTTAATATCTTTAATCTCTGAGACTTTCATCTCAGAATTCTGATTTTAATCTCAGAATTCTGACTTTAATCTCTGAGACTTTCATCTCAGAATTCTGACTTTAATGTCTTTAATCTCTGAGACTCTAATCACAGAATCCCGACTTTAATCTCAGAATTCTGACTTTAATATCTTTAATCTCTGAGACTTTCATCTCAGAATTCTGATTTTAATCTCAGAATTCTGACTTTAATCTCTGAGACTTTCATCTCAGAATTCTGACTTTAATGTCTTTAATCTCTGAGACTCTAATCACAGAATCCCGACTTTAATCTCAGAATTCTGACTTTAATATCTTTAATCTCTGAGACTTTCATCACAGAATTCTGATTTTAATCTCAGAATTCTGACTTTAATCTCTGAGACTTTCATCTCAGAATTCTGACTTTAATCTCTGAGACTTTCATCTCAGAATTCTGACTTTAATCTCAGAATTCTGGCTTTAATCTCAGAATTCTGACTTTAATCTCTGAGACTTTAATCACAGAATTCTGACTTTAATCTCAGAATTCTGATTTTAATGTCATTAATCTCAGAGACTTTAATCTCAGAATTCTGACTTTAATGTCTTTAATCTCTGAGACTTTAATCACAGAAATTCTGACTTTAATCTCTTTAATTGCTGAGACTTTAAACTTAGAATTCTGACTTTAATCTCTTTAATCTCTGAGACTTTAATCTCAGAATTCTGACTGAAATCTGAGAGCTAACAAACATGTGAGCATCAAGCCGTAACCATTTCTGTTTTAGAGACTAGCTCTCTTGTTTTAAATACCTTCTAATTACCTTCTTGTTTTAATCACCCTCTAATGACCTTCTTTAATTATCTAACCACTAGGCCACCACGCACAGATTATGCAGATTTTAGACTACATTTTGAAAATTACAGCTGATCTCTTCTTAAAATAGTTCTATAAAGATTGGATATATAATTTAATTCATTCATCTGCTGCTAAGAAAAGCTTTTCTTTTCTTGTTTTCTTTCCAATAAAGCTCCTACTCCTGTGTTTTTATTCAGGATGCATCAAGACCCCTTCACAATATGCATCATTGCGGATCCCTCTCCAATTTCTGGAGTTACTCTAGTTTTCCATCTAGTCCACAGATCTGCAACCTGCATCTCCAGAGCTGCATCGGCCTCTTTGCACCCTCTGCAATGGCTCCTAATACAGAACCAACTCATGTACTATCATAACAAACACCAGCTTTACTGTTTTTTTGTTTTGTGTTTTATTATTTTAATTGGAACCAAAAGAACACAACAGAACACAACAGAAAAAAAAAAATATATATATATATACAATGTGCCTCTTGCTGTGATCACACACAAATCCAGTACAAAGATCTCTGGTGACCAAAGTAAAAATCTCATAATTACAAATTACAATCCAGCAGTTTCAGCCTTTTTTTTATCCCCATCAAGAAAGAAAAAGGAAAAAAATAAAAAATAAACCCAGCACTTTAGTGGCTTTTAATAAGAATATTTCAACAGAATGACATTAAAAGAACCAGAAATATGTTTTATTGAGCAATTTTTCTTTAAATTCACTTAGAAATTATGTGCTCCGTTGTTTTTTTGTTTTTGTTTTTTTTTTACATCAAATAATACGTTGTTGGAGAGGAGCTGGACTCTCTGACTGCAGAATGTAGGATCAAATCCATGCTGAACAATTCTGCACATCCTCTTCAAAATATGCTGGACGCCCACAGAAGCACGTTCAGTCAGAGACTCATTTCATATCGCTGCACCACAGAGCTCTACAGGAACTCATTCCTGCATGTGGTCATCAAACTGTTTAAATTATCTCTCTGACAGTCATTTTATTTCATCACTTATTATTTATATATTTCATTACTTCACTATTTGCAACAACACGGTCATGTGCAGTAATGGTATCTTGGTTCTGAGCAGCATTTTGAATTGTTAATACTGTCGATAATATGTATATAATGAGAACCTTATTTTATTGTTATATCTTATTTTACAGTTTATATATGGAAAGGGTTTAATTTTACTATGTGGGTTGTAATTTTACTATTTTTACTTTTTTATTATCATATTATTATTATTTTATTATACTACATTTTACTTTGCTCTATTTTCTTTACAACCTTATTTTTCTCTTCTGTAATCGTTTGCACAGCAACAAAACATTTTCCCGTAGGGATAAATAAAGTTATTCTGATAGAAGAACATCAATGCTTTATTATTATAAATCGATTTATGGTTTTCCATATTTTAAAAGCTAATAGTACCAATAATCTATTGGTTGATTAAGATTGTAACAGGTGTCCTACGGCATATAATTAACAAAAATAATGGGTTAAGATTTATTAAAAAGTAATGTCATACAGAATGGTTCTTGGATATGAAAGTTTGCAGACTCCAGATCTAGTCTTATGTCATTTTCATCCTGATTAAAGTTTAATAATTATCAAAAAAATTATCCTCATTGAAGAACTGTATTATAACCGTATCTGTTTTCTTGTAAAAATAATAACATAATTAGCATAAAATGAATAGTAATAACTTAAAATGATGCTTGAACCTTTTTTGCTTATTTCTTTAGTGCACTCAATTTAAGTTCAGTTTTGTTACTCTTATTATTAAATCTGTAAAACCAAAATGTTTTTATGCACTTAGCGTATACTTTTATACATACAGCCAGTAAATATGTGGAAATAGCCTTTAGAAATTGTGCTTTTTGCAGCAGTAACATGAATCAAACCGAAATATAGATAAAAAAAAAAAACAATCTCTGATCTCAGTATTTGGGTGAGCAATCCCGGTTGGCATGGTCATTTACTGTTAAAACGTTTAGCTAACAGTTCAGCACCCATTTTCATCTTAAAATGGTAAAAGGTGAAACATAAAAACAGACCATTCTGTCCATGGCCAGGCCTAGTAATGCTTGAGTACTTTAAAGTTTATGTAGGCATAAAGAAATTACTCCTGGGAGCATAATTGATTTTTATTTGTTTTATTATATTCTGGCTAATTTGATTGGCTGCTCTGTAGGCCACGTACCTACAGAGCGTGGAAAGACAGAGAAATGTCTGCGTTTGTCAATATGAGTGGAATGAAATGAATTAATGGTGTACTCTTTTTAGATAACAGATGTGCCTATTTCCAGCTATTTCCAGTAACCCTGGACAACTCGTCAGTGTAATTCAATAGTTTCTATCTAAGGAAAACCAGCTGATTGCATCGACTCATTGACTGAAAGGCAATCCCTCACACTAAGCATGCTTGTAGCGACAGTGGAGAGGAAAAACTCCCTTTTAACAAGAAAAAACCTCCAGCAGAACCAGGCTCAGTGTGAGCGGCCATCTGCTGAGGCCCACTGGGGTTCAAGGAGACAGAAGCAGACATAGAAAAAGAAGCATAGATACAAAAGGCAACTGTCAACCAGCTCCACAGGCGGCCCCGTCCAGGAAACACACAGCCAGGCAGACAAGCTCCAAGGCAGCTCCCATGTCAGAGGATGAAGAGAGCACATCCAGTTAGTCACAGTCAGAGAAACAGGACTACACTGAAAAACAGGCCAAGCTCCAGCATCTATAAACAAAGGTGTTGATGGCAGCAGCACAGCTGATATTTCTCTCCAGGATGGAGTCACAGCCAAACAGGAACAGACCAGATGAAGCTACTATGAGAAAAAGCAGAGAGAGCAGAACGTTAGAGATTGAACTAACAGATTCTGCAGAGTGGGAGAATAGAGATAGAATGACGTAGTCCGACTCAATTCTAGTCAGAATGAGTCTGATGCTGCTCCATAGAGCTGTGATTATGGGGCGTGTTTCGAACGAACCAGGAAAAAAAATGCCTCTGCACTCAATTGGATAGACCTACAACCAATAAGAGCAACGGAGTGCGTGACGTATGTTAAGCGAGGCATAGTTGTTGTCCACAAAAATCAAAGCGTGCAGTTGCACGCCTAGAATAAGAAGATGAGCCTTGATCGCGTTTCTCTGTTCCTCTTTTAAAATTAATTTGCTGTCGATATCTTCTAGAACAGACCTAATAGCAGAATCTACACACCTCAACTCTCCAGCGGCAGCCATTGTTGTCGTCACCCAAGCGCGCTTTGGTCACGTGGTTGATTATGTTACTGTTGATCATCTGTCCATCATCGTATAAAGCCCGCCCTGACAATTTGATTGGATCGCCTGACAGTGGGCGATAATA